CAATGTGTATAGAGAGGGGAACAATGTGTATAGAGAGGGGGGCAATGTACCTAGGGAGGGGGCAATGTATATAGAGAGGGTGGCAATGTATATAGAGGGGGGCAATGTGTATCGATAGGGGGCAATGTGTATAGAGAGGGGGGCAATGTATATAGAGAGAGGGCAATGTATAGAGGTGGCAATGGAGAGAGAGATGCAAGATGGGGGGGACAATGTGTATATAGCGAGATGGGGAGTTTATATATATGTAGAGTATATGTAGAGTATAGAGTATAGGTATATGTAGAGAGGGGTGCAATGTATAAAGAGTGTGTGTGTGTTTTATACAGTGGCGGAATTGCAGCCGGTGCCTCAGCCTGGGTGGGCTCAGCACAGTCCCTGTGCATAGATGGTGGGGCTTGCCGGCCGCCGGATAGCACTGGATCGGTATCCAGCAGCCAGCGGGCCCCCAGTCTCTGCGCCTGGAGTGTCATCCGGCACTCCCGGCACAGAGATGGGAAGCCCGCCAGCCGCCGAATACTGATCTTAACATCTGACAAACCAACATGGGTGAGAGGGGGCGCTCCGCGACGCACTGAAATGGGGGGGCCTGTCCGCTGACCGCTGTGAGGAGGGAGCTGCAGAACAAGGAGGCACTGAAGACAGCCCTGCAGGCACATCATGGGGCCTCGGACAGCAGTGAGGACCCAGCAAACAGAAAACACATAGGAAACAGATGAAGACAGAAGACCGGCCAGAAGAGGTAAGGGTAAATAATTCATTAAAATAATTATTATTTGTAGCCTAATGTTGTATAAAGTACTGTTGCAGCAATGCAGCATGACACCCTCTATAGAGGACTACAAATCTCAGCAGTACTTTATACAGAAATGCTATTGTTATATAAAGTATTGCTGGGATGTGTAGTCCTCTATAGCCTGTGCCATTCTGCATTGCTGTAAATATTAGGGCTGCACCGATATATCGGCCGCCAAAAGATATCGGCTGGAAATGGCAGGGAGGAGAGAAAGTGACAGCCGGCCGAGCGCTGCGGGAGGAGAGCGCTGTGTTTGTGGGGGTTTTTGTTCCTTAGGTCCGCCACTGGTGATCACACAGTAGAAACTCACGCTGATCAGCTTTGTGCATTATGCCTATCATCTGAGCCCCCTGACAGCTCAGACCACAGCCATTGACAATGATTTAAAAATTACATTCCAGAAATTCACTTCCACCATGCCACCATTTTACAACGTAAAACAGTAGTGAAGTGGACTATGGACAAAAAGGAGTAGTGAAGTGGACTAAAAGGACTATGCAAGGAGAAAACCAAATCACAGCTGCTGTTTGGTTTTCTCTCTCTCCCTAGTGCCCAACAGGTCAGGCTCTGATGGCGCTTTAGATGGCCAGCCCATGGGCCACGTGATGGGCACCAGGGTCTCAGCTTGTTAGAAATTAGGGATGCACCGATACCTGTATTTTGGTACGGAGTACGATTACCGATATTTTTTTCCCGGTACTCACATGTGACGAGGGAGCATGGAGCCGGTTTCCCGGGCCAATCAGGAAGCCGGGCAGCGTGTAATGACGCGCTGCCCAGCTTCCTGTTACAGGAATTATCGGGCTTGGCATCGGAGCATTTGGGCGATTACATATTTGCCCAAATACTTGGTATCGGCACCGATACCCATACTAATATGGGTATCGATGCATCCCTATTAGAAACCAACTGAAACCTCACCCATCGGTGCCCATTAGGTAGATCATGATCTACCAGTAGCTCTCAAAGCTGATGCTGGTAGATCATGAAGGGTGTGAATGGCGGCCCCTTTATTCCATTTTGGTATATTTATTTAGTGGTGCACACATGATTACCTATAAGCCCGAGTCTGCTGAGCCAAGCTCCCTGACACCGTTCTGATGGATTCTGGTGGTTGAAGTGCTATGTATTACATCATGGTGAGCGAGGAGAGAAAGAGAGGAAAGACACCCAGGGGAGAGAGCGAGGAGAGACAGCCAGGAGGATGAGTAAGGAGAGACAGCCAGGAGAGAGAGCAAGGAGAGACAGCCAGGAGAGAGAGCGAGGGAGTTTTTTTTTCCGTTGGTAGTTCTCATGTAGCACGTCATTTGAAAAGTAGATCTTAACACAAAAATTGTGGGCACCCCTGCTCTAGAGTGTTTGTTGTAAGCTTCTGGGATTTTTCAGAAGTGATAACTTCATATTAAAAGCAGCTAGAGAGGTCAGGGGTGGCTTGTTGTAAAGCACTTCTTGTTATTAATATGGAACTAGTTTAATGTCCATATTCTGGGCACAGGAGCACTAAAACAATGACTAACCTGTGCATATGCATCGATGTGCAATAAAACACATAGGTGTAAATAGGCTCATAATATCCTGTAAGCAGCATTTTTTCTGCATTTTAACATCCATGCATCTGCCATAGAGATAAACAAAGCAATTTAAAAAACACACACAAAAAAACACACAATACATGTATTTTGCATGAATGTTAATACAAGATAAATCACCTGACCTTCTTTAAACTATGTCATTTGTGGTGGAATCACATCAAAAATGCATGATGAAATCTGTGCCATTATACAACAGGAATGTTCACATCGTTCGCATTGTCATTTAGTGCATTTTTCCAGTATTATGAAAACATCTGATCGAACTGAAATAAAAAAAAGTAGGGCTGGTAATGATTACAATTTTCGTGTTCGATTAATCGAACATTTTTAAAATCGATTAATAG